AAACTTTTCCCACAACTGATGTAAGACTAATTGGTCTATAATTACTGGGACAATTTTTATCACCTCCCTTGACAAAATGAGTTACATTGGCTAACTTCCAATCCTCTGGTACCTGCCCATTATTCAAAGACTGACAAAAAATAGTAGTAAGTGGTTCACATTTCCAATCTTTAACTTCCTTCAAAACCCTTGGGGAAATATTATCTGGCCCAGGAGCCTTATCATTTTTTTAAACTTCCAAATTTTTTCTTAACCAGCTCAGAATTAATGCAGTCATCTTGTTTGATCTCATTTCCATTTATCAACTTTCAAGATGTGAAATACTGCTTAAATTACTTCATTAGTAAAAACCAAATAAAAGCAAAATTGAATAACCCAGCCGTCTCATAATCATCAGATACTAGCCTTCCTTTATCATCCTTCAAGGATCCTACTCCCCATCCTAATTTGTTTACCCTTAATGTATGTGAAGAAATCCTTACTGTTAATTTTTACATTTTTCAGCCAACCTATTCTCATACATCCTTTTTTATGTCCAAATTTTCTGTTTCACCAACTTTCTAGATCTTCTATAATCTTCTAAGTCTCCTGTCATACCAGTCAATTTAAATTTCTTATGCTTTTCTTTAATTTTATCTCTTAAACTCTTTGTGAACCAACCTGGTTTTTTACTTGCAGCTACGCTTTGCTTTCTATAAGGAATATGTTTACCTTGAATATTTATAAATTTATCTTTAAACATTTTCCACATCTGAACAGTGTCTCCAAATAACTCAGGTGCCCAATTCACAACAGATAATTTTTGTTACATTCCTTCAAAATTTGCTTTTTTGAAACTTGTAACCAAAATATCATTATTCCTTATCTCTATATGCAGCAAAACATTGAACCTAATAGAACAATGATCACTTGCACCCAGATGTTCCCCAATTTCCACCCTCTCAATCATTTCGATATTTGAAGTTAACAATAAATCTAGAATAGCATTGTTTCTAGTAGGTTCTTTGACTAACTGGTGAAGAAAGCCATCTTGAACAGTTTCCAAAAACCTTTCTCCTTCATGTTTGACTCCAGCATTTCCCAATCTATATGTTGAAATTAAAATCACCTATAATTATGACTTCATTAACAGCTGAAATCTTAATCTCATTGTAAAGT